GACAGTACATGGACGCTGTTTTCATTCACTACATTGGTGGTCATTTGTTACAGCAACCACAGGAAACCCATACAGGCAGCTAGTGGCAAAGCTGGGACAGAAGGCAGCCGTCTCATCACCCAGGCAGAGGTGGAAGGCCCGCTCTGCTCTTGGTGAAGTCTCCCCAGGGCCTGCGTGGGTGGGGGTGGAGGACAGGAGGACTTCAGGGGAAGATGATGAGGGTTCAGGAGCAGGAAGCTGCTGGGAGCCACCAGCTCGAAGTCCCTTGCTTGAGGCTCGTCACTTGATTTATCCGAACGCTTCAAGGAAGGGACTAGAAGCATGGCGGCCAAGGCCTGTCCTTGGCCCAAAGGGCTGGGATAGTCAGTCCATGGATGACTGGATGAGAACCCTGCTGGCTGAGACTGTACCAGTGACTTCTGGATTGTCACCGCCTCTTTCACTGAATCCCAGGTGCCCCTGCTGACCTCGGGTGGCCTCTGTCTGACTCCAGGCTCCTGTGGCGCAGAGGTAAGGACAGTCCCGGGGGAGAGTTTGGCGCAGTGCTCACCCTCCAGTGGGGGTGAAAATCAGCCATTCGCCTCGGACAAAGGAGACTCTTGGCAAATTTCAGGGGATTCTTCCTTCCTTTGTGATCTCCAGATCAGGCCAGAACCGGAAGGAGTGAGTTCTACATTCTCCCCCAAGTCCCACCTGTGGTCACGGTAGGAAGCACTGGTAAGTATAATGCTTGACAGCCTAGTGTTGCTTTGTGATGTGAAAATTCAAATCACCAGGAAATGCTGGCATTCTTTCTCTTCTGTCTCCCTCCCCATATCCCTTCCTCAGAGCGTCTCTCTCTTCTAGCTCTTCCTCTGTTGCCTAGTTTCTTGGTGAATTTTAAGTCCCTCAAACTTCCTAGCTCTGAGAAAACTCTCTGGTTGAGGCTTGGATTTCAGAACTTTAAAAAAACCACGTTGAATCCTTAAGGAGTCTACAAGGTGGGGGGTGGGCAGAGATTGCTTCTCAATTTGAGCAACGGCAGGAGCTGGGGGGACAAATATTGGGACCTCCGGCCACCAGCACCACAAAGTTACATGGGGACTGCTCTCACCGCATCCCCCAACTTCCAACCGCTCCTCGAGAAGCCCCAGCAAGTTCCAGAAGTTGGGCAAGTTCGAAAACTGAGTTTTAATTTCAAGACTCTACCTCTGACAGGCACTCCCAAGTCATTCCCTTAGGCTTCTACTATAGTCGAAACTAAGATTCAGTTAAGTTCTCTGAAACACAGACTTTGCATTTTGGGACTCTACTTTTCTCCAAATTTCGCAGTGCGGAGAAAGAGTTTACTTCCGCTGACCATCGACCGGAATGGAAACATCACAGAGCTTGCCAAGCTGGCCCCTGGCATGCATCAGCACTTGGCACACATGCACCCACCGAGCAGGTTTCATGCCATCTGAGCACTGAGATGGCAGGGTGGGTGACTTTTAACATGCCCCTTTTACAGGAACACAGGCCACCACCCCTCCCTCCGCATCTCCAGCATCTGTGACACATGCAATTGCTAAAGTACTTTCACAGACATATTTCATTTCCCCCTGGCCATTATTCTGTGCATTATCCTGGGCAATATCCTTGTCTCACTTCACAGGTCAAGGCCATCCCCAGGGCCACCCTACCAGCCCAGGAGTGGAGCTCCTGGAACAGTGAGGCTGGAAGTGCCTTCGGAGATTACCGTGTCAACCCTCCCCTGTGCTATACATACGGTCAACCACCCCACCAAAGAATGTACAGGCCCTGCAATTTGCTGGTGGCCTAGCAGGACAGGAAGTCAGGTCGTGCCTGCCCTACTTCCACAAGCCCCTCAATACCCCTCCCTTCCTGGGCCCAGGCACTAGGCCAATGTGTTCACCTCCAAAGCCAGGTGCCAGCCCGGGGAGGAGCCACGTGTTCCGCTTTTGAGGAATTGCCAGGGTGCGGCAAAGAAGGGGTGTGTGCATGTGAGCTGGGAGAAAGGCGGCTGGAGTCTTTGGCTATGCAACAAATCTTGGGGCTGGGAGGCAGGTCCAAAGTCAGTGCAGATGCGCTGGCTTTACACATCGGAGTGTGCTGCAGAAGAGTTGTGGGCCAATCACTGTTTTGTAAATTGAATCTTGAACCCCCCTGAGGCGCCATCTATTGCAGCCCCGTGAGAACTCCTTTTATGAAGCAAAGAGTCTTCTTGTAATGCAAATCACCAACCCTTAATTGGCCTGCTTGGTAACTCCAGTGCCTTTAATTGCTTAAGAGGGCCATGTCCCTTTGTCACCAACAGTATGTTTTTATTTTGTTCTGTACAAAGCTGGGCAAGTGCCACCATCAACTCAGACCTCGCTGCTGCTGCCTCCAGACCAGAAGGCCCACCTGGGCCCTGGGGCAGACTCAGTGGGTCCGCCGCCTCCCCACCCCAACCCTGTGGAGGTCTGTGTAGAGCAGTTCATCGGGAAGCTGGGAGTGCAGGTGGCACTCTGTACCACCTGGAGCCATCTCCCAGAGAGTGTCCGTATCCTCTGAGGCTGGCGAAGAATACCAATTGCACGGTTACTGGGCCCCCTCAGGAGCCCACAAGAGGAAATTAAAAGGCACACACACGCCTGGAATAAAGGGCCCTCTTCTTGCAGCTAATCACCAAAATTGGTCACTGGGTTGTCCCCTCCCCCATTTGGAGAAAGAACATGGTCTTTCTCTTGTTCTGCTCTGTCTCTGCATTCTCAGAAATGTGCCAGGGGGGCTGAGTTTTGCATGGGCTCCCCCTCCCCTCGGCCTTGCTTTTCCCAGCAGGGGAGCATCAGTTTGTCCGGTTTGACACAGGACACATCTGATCACCTGAGGCTCCAAGGCCACACAGGTGTGAGGAGTCACCTGGCATCCTCAAGAATGCCTCCTGCAGGGCCCTTTGCAGGTTGTAAAATGCTTCCACTTCCCTCTCTGCATGTGTTTCACACCCCATCAGGCTCACTGCTGCTGTTTTTACCTCCGCGAAGGGGCCTGAAGTGACAGACGTGGTAGTCAGAGCTCAAGCCCAGGACTTCAGTTCCAGGAACCGGGTGGGGACCCTGTGTGCTTCCGGCCTGCTGCCTCCTGCTGGGGTGTGTTTCTGTAGGGTCATGACAGAGCCCCTTGCAGTTCCTTAAGAAAGTCTGGGAAGCCCTGAGGGCAGAAGCAGGGGCTTAAAGATGCTGGCCCTGCTGGGAGAGGCCCTGGGGGCTTTACTTAACACTGTGTCCCAACAACCAGTACTAGCCAGGCACATAGGAGATGCCTTCTCAAATCCTGCTGAAAGCAGGCAGGAGGGAGGCCTCTGGGAAGAGCCTGCCCACCTGAGGGCCTTCTCCAGAGTCCTCCCTTTCCCCTGCCAGGCTAGTGATGGCTTTTTAACACCTGATCACCGGCCCCACTTTTCTCTTGAGTGCTGGAGAGCTGATACAAGCTGTGGTCTTGCCTCCAGTCATGGCTGTGGGCACTTAGCTCTGTGAGTGTCCTACAGGGGCTCAGCATAGGAAACACAGGTGGGGTGGCCCGTGATCTTGGAGGTGATGGGAAATCCTAATATTCATACTGTAGTGTGTTGAATGGTGGCCCCCAAAAGATATGTGCACCTAGAACCTAGGAATGTGGCCCTATTTGGAAAAGAGCCTTTGCAGAAGTAATGAAGTTAAAGATCTGGAGCTGAGGTATTCTGGATTACCCAGGTGGGCCCAGAATCCAATGACAGTGTCCCTGTGAGAGACAGGCAAGGGGAAAGTGGAAACACAGGGGAGACGGCCATGTGAAGATGGAGGCCGAGGTGGAGTGATGCAGCCACAAGCCAAGGAAGCCTGGGGCCAGCAGAGGCTGGGAGAGGCAAGGAAGGGATCTACGCTGGAGCCCTCCTAAGGAATATGGCCTGGCTGACACCTTGATTTCAGACTGTGGCCTCAGAGCTGTGAGAGGATAAATACACAGATACATGTATTCCTGCATAAATGAATACATTTCTGTTATTTTAAGCCATCAAATTTGTAGTAATTGGTTAGGGCAGCCACAGGAAACCAACACACATACACACAGCAACAGTACCAAGGAGAGGGAGAAAGAAGAAGGAGAAGGAAGAAAGGAAAAAACAACACCACAATCAGAAGCAAAGCTACCATTCGCTGAGTATCTACCAAGGGCCAAGCAGATGCCAGGCCCAGGCAGGTACCAGGGCCAGGGAGGCACCAAGGGCCAGGCAGGCACTGTCCTGGTGCCCTCAGAGCACAACCCCATGCCATGTCTGTACCATAGGAAGCAGGTCCTTCCCTTAGCCCCCTGCACAGAGAGAGGTGGACCCAGGGTGGGAACGCCAACAGGGGGACTGCAGGCCTCCCCGCTCATGCAGGTGGGGGTCACAGCAGGACTGCTTGTGGGCCCAGCCAGCAGTCTGCACTAACTGCCCACTTCAGATGGCGAAGGACAGGATGAGGGTTCTCAGAGAGGCACAAAGAATGACACAGAGTGTCTGCGAGTTCAGGAGAGAGACCCGGAGGACGTGGCCATGGACCTGGCCTTCAGGAAGGGGATATGGATATAGCCCAGCTCAACTGTGCCTTGCCCATCCCTCTGCAAACACCCCAGAGCTGGCCGTGGGGGAAAGTGGGAGCGTGGGGCACACGCAGTGCTCCGATGGACCTAGCACTGGGGTGGGCCTGCCCCACACCGTTTTCACACTTCTCAGTGATCAGCCAGAAACCTGGGCACACCCCCGATGCCTTCTCTCCCCAGTCTTTTTTCTCTCCACAGTCTCTCAACAACCAATCCTGTCAGTTTACTTCCTAAATAGTCCCCTCCTGCCTCTGGCTTCCCTGCCACTGCAGTCCAGGCCTTGGACCCTCCCAGGGCTGGATGTGGCTGCTCCTTTCCCTTGTCCCCCATTTGTACACACAAGCGTGTCTCCTGCACTGACTCCCACGGAGCAGAAGAGCGTCACCAGGATGTTCCAGTTGCATTACTTACTCAGCTTGCTCTTGGTGATGGCATGATTCGGGCTGGGAACTGGAGCTACAGGGGTCGGGAGGGGGCGGAAGTGTGGCCTGTGACTGATGGATGAAGCAGGCTGTGCTGGCAGAGTGGTTGGCTGCACCTCAGCCGCTGGTGGTTGGAAGCCTGGCTGCAAAGAAGCCTTTCAGAGCCTCATGCTTTCTCACAAGTTAACACCAATGTTCCTCGCTCTCCATGGGCACCTTCAGGGCCGTTTGGCTTCTTCTTTATTTCTGTCTGAAAAGCCATTAGGAAAGTATTTGCATCTTATCAATCATACTGTCTTAAAATTGAGGACACAGGTTTTGGATGGCTGAGAACCTTGACTTTGGCTTGGTGTGCTGTTCAGGACACCTGGAGCAGCTGGTTGGTTATCTTCGTCTGGAACAGTCAAATACACCCACAGCAAGTTTTATATCTTTCTTATTCAAACCCTTGCAGGAAAAGTAAGTTTTTATGGCAGATACAGAATCCTCTAGCCTCTAACCCTTTGCTGTGTTTTTATAATATAATGATTGAGAACGGAAAATGTTTAGGAGCTCAGCGGTCCCATCAGAGCAGAGCACTGCCCCACATTATAGCCTTGGTTTCTTTCTATCATGCTTATTTGCACCCAGGTCACCCAGGACCAAGCCTTGAGCTCCTGGAGGGCAGGGATTCTGTCTTTTACACTGCTGTCCCCCGCAATGGCTAGCACACAGTAGGCCTAGCACCCAGTAGGTGCTATACATGCTGCGAACTTAATTGTTTGACCTTCGAGTGTGTGTGTCTGTGTGTGTGTGTGTGTTTTACTAAGTGAATGAATGAATTAATTGGGAACTGAGGCTCAGAAAAGTCACAAACTAATAAAAGGCAGAGTTGAGACACCCCCTCCTCCCACTGATGTCAGAGTCCATGCTCTGTCCGTTCCCCACACCACAGTGACGGGCAGGATGGAGTCTTTGGGCTGACGCTCCTATGGGAGCAACTGTGAAGAGCCTGAGGGGCTGAGAAAAAGCTGTGGACAGAGAGAGCAAGTCTCTAAGTGGGGCTGTGCGTCCTGACAAGCGGGGCTGAGTCAGGGGGCTTCTGGGGACAGACTCCAGCATTGATGTGTAGCTGGGGTTTGCGTGTGATGTCTAGCTGTGGGCTTCGGGGTCAGCCTTACTTTCCCAACAGCTAGAGGAGCCGAAAGGATGTCTGGCCTTGGCGAAAGCAAGGGGGAAGCAGGAAGGGGGCGTGCAGGACATCTGTGAAGGGTGACGCCATCTGAGCAATATCTGCACTTATCTCAGGTGTTGACAGAATGAACCCCAAGTCCCTATGCCGAGACAACTGCAGGCCTTCAAAATTAGGCAAGGGGGATGGATGCCTGAGAGACTCTGGACCGGGGGCACCCTGCAGAAAAGGGGCTGCAGGAGAGGCCAGGGCAGAGGTCAGGATCTCCGGATGTCATCTGCTATGCTGGGTGAGTCTGGATCCCTTCTCTCTCGGTTGGCTTTCCTTCACTTTTCCCTCTTAGAATTGGAGACTTTCCTTGCCAACTAAGCAGCAAAGGAAGCAATAATATGTACACACGTCTTCAACCCAATTCAACAAAAATCATTGCATATCTTACCATGTGCGAAATGTCAGGGACCCAAGGGAAAGTTCAACTCCATCCCCTGAAACAAGAGAGAGACCCCTGATTAGGTGAGTTGGCCACAAGGCTAACTGTGATCTTGATATGGACCCTTAAGAAGGGACTAGACCAGAGGGAGGGTGTCATACTCAACTCTGCTAATCTGGGAAGGCTTCTAGGAAGTGGTGAGGTTTGAGCTGAGCCTTGTAAGATTGGAAAGAAGGCACACAGGTGTGCAAAAGTATCCCAGGCAAGGAAGAAATGAGCAGAAGCCTGGGGGCAGAGGAGGGCAGGGTGTTCTGTGAGAAAGGGGCCAGGCTGGGAAACAAATGTGTGTGGGGACGTGTGAGAGGTGGGGAGAGGGGTGGTACAGAGGTAGGCAGCTCAGACAACATCTCACAGGCACCAGGGAGCCAAGCTGGCCTTTGGGAAAGCACCTCTAGAGGCTGAATGGGGGAATATACATGTATTTTTCTTCTCTTTCTCATTTCCTTTTTTTCCTTTTCCCCTGGGGAAGCTGAAGCTTTATTTAAGAGAGAAATAACCAGCTCAGAGGAAATGCAGATTCCAGTTTCTACCACACTAGAATTCAGGTGACATACGGACCGGCCGGCCACTCCACACCAGCCACGTGGCAGGAGGGCCTGGTCCATCAGTAGCAGCAAGCTCTGGGAAGGCTGAGCGCAGGAAACTGTGTGATTCCCAACACTCCTAATGTTCCTAGTGATACGTCCACCTGGAACTCACGAATGTGACCTCACTTGGAAAAAAGTTTTTGCAGGTGCCATTAAGGTAAGGATTTCAAGATCAGATCCTCCTGGATTATCTGGGTGAGCCCTAAATCCAATGACAAGGGTCCTAAAAAGAGAAAACATGGAAAGGAGAAGCAGAGATTGGAGTGACACAGCCACAGGCCAAGGAACACCTGGGGCCACCAGAAGCTGGAGGAGAAGACGCAGGAGGAGCTGCCCCTGGAACTTCCAGATGGAGCATGGCCCTGCTGACACCTCATCTCAGCCCAGTGATACTGCCTCTCTCTCAAAGACCACGCATGGTTCCCCATCTGAGTACCCCAGTGCAGTGCACTCCGAGAAGGCAGGAGCCATGTCTTACTTGCCGTGGTAGCCCCAACATCTAACACAAGGCTGGGCATGTACTGCGGACTCAGTCAATGTTGAGTGAATGAACGGGGGCAATAGCCACGTGTATACCAAACTGTCTGCAGATGGATGGATATGCCTCCCATAGTCATAGGCTGCTTGTCCTTTTGTGTTCCTTGATGAACAGATCATAAAAGTCCCACTAGTTGCTGTTATGTGACATCTGCAAAACGTTTTGATATTGGTGTGGAGGTGAGAATGGCAGATGAGGAAATGAGGCCCAGCCCCGTGATTCTTCCTTTCCCTCACAGCCTGTTTCGAAGCCAACTGGAGAAGCGCCAAGGCACAGCCTTCCTCCAGTGCAGCATCTACTCGTCCTGGACCCTGACCAGCCACTCTGCCAAAGGCAGCGCACCAGGTAGACAGTGGTGGTGTGGGTGGCTACAGGGAATTGCAAGCAGCCTTCCTGCAGACAGCCTCCAGCAGGGGCCCGGGAGAAGCCCAGTCAGTTAGGAAATGTCCCAGGTGCCTCCAGTCCCATCTGGCCACTTCCTTATCCTCAGCCCCCTGGCCAGTTTATAATCTGCATGCTGGGAAGAGTCTAGCTGAAAAGCTTGTTCCCAGGAGCTTTCCCCATATCCTGTCTCGAGGTGTCTCATCCTTCTGCCCACGGTAATAATTTGTCATTTGTTTGTCAATTCTTCTTTCCACGTAGTGGTTCCAGGAGGGATTCTGAAAACAGGCTTTGGAGAGCTGCTCAGGTCCCTTCCAGTCCCCCAGGCCAACGTGCTGGCTAAGGAGAAATGGCTTAGGGAACTTGCCTTAAATAGTCTGGCAAACAATTCTCCTTTCTCTATTCATTAGGGATATTGCACTTAAATACCCTCTTTGTTTCTTGGGATTTGAGTCCCCAGCCAAGGCAGGACATGGGGACTGACAAGGCTGGGGCTCAGGAGGGAGGGAAGGGCAGCGGAGGTTGCTCCATTGAGATGTATCTGCACAGCCCAGAGAGGAGCCTCGACACACTGGTGTTTCGCAGCCTCCTCTGCCTCCAGCTCTTTCTCTTACCTCGGAGGCGCCCCAAGGGCTTTATAAGCTCAGAACTGAGGTCCTAGGGGATTTTTTTTCTTGAGCCGCAGAGCCCAAAAGCTAAGATCTGGAGTCAGGTAGCTCTCAGATCTCCTGCTGGCTTCTTCACAGACCAGCTTAGGGGCCTCAGACAAGGCCTGTCCATCAAGGCGGGGATGCTGTGAAGAAAGGCAGCCTCATAAGGTGGTTAGCAGGAGGCTCTGCTGAGCAGGAGGGGGACTTGGGGCAGGTGGGTGCTGGTTCTGCTGCGCCCAAGACCTGGGCCCAGCACTTCTTGGCTGCTGGCCCTCACACAAGTGTGCTGGGCCCAAGGGACCCAGTCAGGCAAACCCTATCTGAAATGCAGGGGAAGGAAGAAAGGTGCCCCTCCTCAGCTTTGTGTTAACTTACCGATATTAACATATTCCCAAGGCAGTAAAGCTTCTTTAACATATCTATGATCGGAATTTCATTCATTTTCTTGTTTCACAGTCTTCCTCCTGTTCTCACCATGTGTTCACGGATGTATCTGAGGAAAGAGAAAAAAAGATACAAAGCTTCTATACAAATTAGCTATATTTTCTTTTTCTTTTTTCTTTTAAAAGATTTTATTGGGGACTTAGGGGAGGGGAACAGTGTTGGGGAATCGGGAAAGGGGAACAGACAAGGTGCTGTCCTTTGGTTCTTCAGTCTAGTTGTGGAGGACGCAGCTTCACTGGCCCATGTTGGTATTTTTATTGCGCTCTTCCCCGGTGAGGCAGTCGCTGGCCGGTCTCTGGATGGCCGCTCTCGGCGGCTCACGGCAGCCCAGCTCCAGGTCGAGCTGTTGTTCACCGTCTTAGCTTTACAGGGCATAGCGTCACTGGCCCCCATGTGAGATCTGAACCAGGGCCGTGCTGCTCAGAGCTGGCATCCCAAGCCAACTTTTACCCAATGCGCCACTCAGCCGGCCCAAGTTAGGTACATTTTCGTTCAGTTTGTCAAATTAGCTATATTTTCGTTCAGTTTGTTTTAGGAGCATGAGAGGTTTAAACACAAAGTATCCAGATTACATGGATTAATTAGAAGTTTTACGTTAAAAAAAAACACACCAAGAAAATAAGTTGCAGCTTAGAAATCTCAGACGGCTTTGATTTTCCGCTGCTAAGCTATTCAAAAAAAATAACAATTGAGATGTGAACAGTCAACTGATTCTATGCATACATTAGAGCTATCAAAGGCAAATGTTTGCTTTTAGATTGTGATGTATGGGAGACTGAGCCATAAACTCTGGGATGGAGATGTTAATTGCGCTAAAACCTGAGCTTTAATCAGGCGCCAGGGCAGGATGGCCCTGGGCTTCCTCCCTTCCCCCACTGCCATGGGACTAGACGGACAGACGAGGCAGGCGCCTGATGCCTGAGCGCGTGGCAAACAAGACCATTAGAGTTGTCAGACTCCGCAGAAACCCCCCACCAGGAGCTGAAATGCACATTGCTGGGTCCCCGTAGCAAGGCAAAGCTCTCCTGGGAGGGGTGCCAGGTTTGGGTTCCTTTTCTCCAGTTAAGTTGTGAGTGCGTGCAAACTAGTCTTACTCCAGGAAGAACTCAGTTGTGTCTACGCACGTCCTTAAACTGTCGCCTGTTAGTAAGTTGCAGAGACGGCAGCCAGTGCTCCGAAAACCACAAGCAGGCTCTGCTGCAAATTGTTAAATGCTTATTGATAAGCGTCCCCAAACATCACCATTATAGCAGACTAAATACAAAGGCGTCGGAGATGCAAACAGCTCACAGTGGAACTGTCTTAATATTTGCAAGTTTCTAATTTGCTTCAAGAAAACTAGGTTCAGACCCTTAAAGGTGGCCCTAAGCCCCAACCCAACCCCCACTGCCCACCTCCAGCTTAACCCGTTGGTGGCCTCACTCCCACCAATGGCCCTCCCTCAAAGAGAGGCTCATCCAAACCCCCTTCCGGCACCAACCCCACAGGGGCCTCTAAGGCCTGGAGGCTGCGGTGGCCTTGGCCTGCAGCTGCACAGGGGGAGCTGGGCCAGGGTGTTCTGGGCCCGGGTGGTCTACACGCCACAGATGCTTCTAGGAGCTAAGGCAAGCGGAGAGTGGGCTTCTATGCCTGTGAACACCGCCTTCCTGCACAGATGGAAGGTGCCCTGGCCCTGAATCTGGCCCCAACTCTGGCCCCAACTCTGGCCCCAGCCTGTCCACTCTACTTCCGATGGGACCTCCAGCACCTTCTACAGCTCCTGGGACAGGGCTAGGAACCAGCCCCCCTTTTCTAAGGTGTGAAATGCTTTTGCAATTGCCAGGCCACATTTTCACAGGCTTCCTGCATCCTTTGGTTATCTTGATCCACACCATCTACAGCCCAATTAACATATGAGAGCACAGACCTTGCAAGCCATCCGGTAGCTATTCTCTGGGCCTCTCAGGGCCCATCCCCAGTGCCTCCCACCCTTGGCAGTCTTGGCTCAGTCTGTGACTACTGATTATTTTTTACTTTCAAGGCTGCAAATACACCAACTCTTTTAATCCAGAGATTCATGGCTGTCCCTGGGGGGGTTAAAATATAAATAGCAGTCTCTGAGCACGCTAATAAATAGATGGAGCCAAGCAAACAATTTCTCCGCTGGCCTCCCAGCCCCTCGGCAGACCCATTGGGCCGTCTGCCTTGCTAATGTGCCCACCAGTTTCCCTGGGCACGCTCTCGCTCTGCCAAGGCCGGGAGAGTGCTTGCAAAGTGGGCTAAAAATAACACGAGCAAGAGACAGAAAACAAGCAGCCACCACCCAAGCAAAGGACACTTGCTGTTCAGGGACCAGCCCTCAGCCTCAGGGGTCCACACTGGGTGGTCCAGGAGGTTGCTTGGCCTCCCTGGACTCTCTGAGGTATGCCCACAGTGGCGTGGCCCTCAGGGGGGAGGGCAAGCTGGGGACAGGACTCTATAATCCCCACACTAGGGAGGAGCATGCTGTCCTTGGAGCTGTGATGGGACTGGAGATGAGGGACAGAGGGACCCAAGGCTGGTACTGCCGTCCGTCCCTGTGCAGCAGGTGGCAGCCAGAGCTGACCCAGGGGGGCCCAGGGGCCGTGGCGCACCTGGAACCCTGAGCCCGTCGGTCCCCGGAAGCCTCTGGGAGGGACAGGCAGGGCCCTTTAGGTCAGCCAGGCCCCAGGCCCAAGCTGCTGACAGGTGGGCAGACCAGGCCCCCAGGGCCCAGGGCTGTGCCCAAGGTCACATGCACGTCAGGGCCAGTCCAGGGTCCCTGTGTCCTCAGCCAGGACTCTCAGCCAGCCCTCCCCAGGCGTCCATGGGCCCTGGAGGACCTGACAGCCCCCTCCAAGCTCACCAGGAGTAACAGGTCTAATGCTGGGGCCTCCGTGAGATGTTCTCCTTGGGGACTCATGGCCTGTCCTGCTGACTCTGGTCACCTGCTGAAGGTGGCATCCACTGAGCACTGGTCCCCAAGGACACAGGACGCATCTCAGAGCGGTTGCCCTGGCCCTGAGTTGGCCCTGGTGCTGGCTGATGGAGCATTTACAAGGGCTGCTCAGGGAAGCTACGGGCGCCCCCTCCCCCCCTACTTCGCTCCCTCCCCTCCCCTTCCATTTCTTTCTGCTTCCCAGGCTGTCAGAGGGTCTGCTCCCCATGAGTGGGAGGGCACCGCCATTTGCAGCCCAGTGGATTTCCCAGCCTCCTCTGCTGCTGGCCCTCCCTGAAAAGGAGAGCAGGCCACACTGGTCGCTGGCCCGCAGGCGCGTCCCAGCCTGGCGAAGGCACACAAGGGGCTTCTGATGTAACCAGTGGCCCTACTGGCGGAATCCCTCCCCAACACAGCACAGAGACAGCTCAGCTGCGTCCCCGGCATGGCGAGAACACACCGCAGAGACACAGCCGCAGTCCGGGCCTCTCCTCCCCTCTGAGCTCTCTTCACCTAGCCGTCCAGGGAAGGCCAGTGGGGGCAGGAACCCTGGCCAAGGACAGGCCTTAGAGGGTGAGACCTCCAAAGGATGAGCCTGAGGATGGAGGCCCGAGGACAGGAAGAGGACAGCCTGGCAGGGGCCCCTGGGACCCACTGGGGGCAGGCAGCTGGGGACCCCTTGCCCCTCCTACTAGGGCAGCAGAGGGGCCCAAGGCCCCGGGCACAGGGCTCCAGTGATCCAGAGCGGTTTGGCTGAACTAGAAACTTGGTGGCTATGATGACAAAGGAGAGGTTGAGGGTGGGAGAGGGGGCTGTCACTCCCCTGGGCTCCCAGCACAGGCTCGCCAGCCCTCTTTCTCCCCTCAGCGCTCTAGTTGTATATCCAACAGCCTGCTGAACATGTCCACCCAGATATATCCTAAGCTTCTCCAACTGTGGTCAAACCAGGTGTGTATTTGTTTTGTTTCTTGTCACTAGTTCTGGAGATTTTCTAGTAACCAGTTGTTTGGCTCGTTATAGACTTCTTTCTTCAGCTGGTTTCTTTTTTTTTTCTTTTTTAAGATTTTTTTCTATTGGGGAATTGGGAGGACGGGAACACTTCTGTGGAATTGGGGGAAGGGGAACAGACAAGTTGCTGTCCTTTAGTTCTTCAGTCTGGCTGTGGAGGATGTTGCCTCACTGGCCCAAGTTGGCACCATCATTGCTCTCTTCCCGGGCGAGGCAGATCAGTCGCTGGCTTCTAGACGGCCGCTCACAGCGGCTGCTGGCCGCTCACGCTGGCTGCTGGCTACACACGGTAGCCCATGGCAACCCGCTGCAGCAGGGGCTGCAGCCTATGCCGTCGCCGGCGCCGGCGACTCACGGCAGCCCAGCTCCAGGTTGAGCTGTTGTTCAGCATCTTAGCTGTAGAGGGCAGTGTCACTGGCCCTCATATGTGGGATCCGAACCGGGGCCCTCTGGCATCCCAAGCGAGTTCTTAACCATCGCGCCACTCGGCCGGCCCCTCAGCTGGTTTCTTGGTGCAAGCACAGCTTCAGTGTCAGGAATGATTCCCCAGGGCATAGGGCCTCCCACAGACCCCCCCCCTTGCAGAGACACAGAAAGGGCAGCCCAGCTCAGTGTTCTGGAATGGGGGCTTCCCTCTCAGCTGCCTGTAGGATTGACTTCCGTGAAAACTGAGACTTGTTTATGACAAGGTTGCCCCCCTCGTTCATCGGACCTCAGCTCTACCGTTCATATTTGCTTTTTTAGAAGCAAAGTTTGGAAGGATCACTGTCTTTGATTTCTTCTTGGCCTCCAGGGCCCGTCCTCTTCACAATACCAAAAGAAAAGATCAGGAACCAGACCCCAGACCCTTGCCTGTGAAAAGGCTTCTGTCCCACATTCCTGAAAGAGTTGCTGACACCTAGAAGCAAACAAGTCGGTGGAGAGACAATTAGGCTGATGCAGACTCACTGTATTTCCAGTCCACTCCTTTTTAACTGCCTCAGTGCCAGCTGTAGTACCAGCCCGGGGAGATGAAACTGAACCCAAGGATTTCCCCAGCTATCTGGAATGAAGCTTTCACTTCTATAATTAGAGTCCCAGAATGTCAGGGCTGCAGGGGCCGTTAG